TCTCTCTCTCTCTCTCTCTCTCTCTCTCTCTCTCTCTCTCTTTCTTTCTTTTTCTTTCTTTCTTTCTTTCTCTCTCTCTCTCTCTGTCTCTCTCTCTCTGTCTCCTTCCCCCTTCCTTCCTTCCTTCCTTCCTTCCTTCCTTCCTTCCTTCCTTCCTTCCTTCCTTCCTTCCTTTTCTCTGAGGGATGGGTGAGGTAGTAATTAGAAGCTTCAGAAATTGCCAAGATAATATGTAAGTCAGGTATAATGTCTTTATTATGGCTCAGAATGCTCCAGTTTACTTTTTTTTAATTCTAGCATTTTTTTCATTAAAGTTGCGTGTAAGAGGACTTTCTTCCTGCATCTTCTCAGTTGTTTCTTCCTTATATTTGCCCTTTTCCTTTTCTGCTTGGTGAGATTTGAGTTTTTTTTCTAGGGTCTTTTTGTGGTCTTTGTCCAGCTTTGACCTGGTGAAAACCACCTTGTTGGGGTGAATGCTCACGCAGACGATTGTGCCGTTTCCTTTTCCAGCTGAACCCCTTCAGTGTGGATGATGTATTTCTTCCTCTAAACCTGGACTCCTTTGCCGGTCTGCTGACTTATGGTGTCCTCGCACAACCTGACCCTCCTCATACTCTTGGATGGGCGTAGATTGAACATTGTATTTCTGTTTCAGCTCTTTGGAAAGGGGAAGACCTAATCTCCTCTGAATGTGGGCAGGTGCATTGAAATGCCTGTCCCTGTTGTTGCTTCAGTTCAAAGCCACAAAAGGATTGAACTTCATTTTGGCTCCCTCAGCTCCAGTGACGGCCATGAAAGGGTCCAGAGTTTACTTTTTTATGATGGCTGTCATTTTGGTTTCTTGTGGATGGTAGTGAAGCAGACTAGCTGTTCTTAAAATTGTGTGACAGGATACTATTTCTTCACTGTTTCCCATTCCAAATGCAAGGCAGTCTTTTTATTTTACTTAAATCTGTTAACCTGGTGAAATAATGGAGAGGTCGCTTGCACGTATGAGAGAATAAAAGCACTGTATAATAGTATGTGTGCATTCTGCACATTTTCTGTGGTTGATTTCAGAGCATGCCTTGAACTCATCCAGTTTCTCATTCCGTTTCTCCCTTGAAGCTGCAGCACAGTGGTGATTGGAAATGGAACTGCCTGCCGGGAGACTGAAGCTTACTTTGCTGACCTGATAATGAAAAATTACTTTGCACCACTGGATGTTGTTTACTGGTAAGGATGTGAGGAATATTTGTTTTCTTGGAGAGGCGTGATAACGTCTGCAGTTACTTTGGTGATGAAGTCTCCTTTTTTTTTTTTTAAGATATGTGTCTTGTTTTCTCCCCAGACTACCTCTTGCTGCTGATAAGAGCTTTGCAGGATGATTTAAATTGTCTTGTGGAGAGATTTAGGACAGGAATGATTAGAGCAGAACAAGGTCCTGAAAACGATCAGAGAGCATGTTGGGCCTTACTCATTTTTATGGGACTTTCCAGGTTGTGTGTATCTTGGGTGAGGGCTCTCGTTAAGTATTGACTGATACGTAGTTTGATGTACCAGGCTAGCAGGTATCGATAGACTGGATAACTTAGCCATCTTCTCCCAGAGACTTTCAGTCTGTGCATCATTGCCCTTCAGAACTGAAAGCCAAAGTACGTCTAATAAATTATAAACTATAAATTCTGATGTCCCATTCTCATTCGTCTCCTCAGATAACTTCCGAATAACTGTGGATTAGCGTGGCCAAGTTTCTCTATGCCTGCCCCTCCATCTCTAGAACTTCTGCTGTCATTTTCCATTGTTTCCTTAGTTTCCTTTTGGACCTCAAATAGTTGATTCTACCTTTTCCAAAGTGTAGTAGGATAGTAAGTCTTGAAAGGTTTGCTTCTAGGAGAGGGTAGTTACCATGGGTGATAGTTTAGGGGAAAGTTCTCATGAGCTGTCTCCCAGTCTTTGTGACCAATAGGGGACCGATAAGATCAACAGCAAAATGTAACTGGGGAAGAGGAGTAGGATTCATTTCGGTAGGGCAGAAGGGAGGGGCAGGTATTTAGTGTAGTATTGTATGTGCTGCGAGTATAATCAGAGTAAGTCAGGAAAACAAACTCGGGGCAACCATAGAGGATCAGAAGTTCATACAAACTACAGGTGCAATGGGCACGTGTTTCCCAAAAGAACCAGACTGACAAATCCCGTGAGCTCTTTCCGGCTCCCTTTCTATTATTCTAGCTGGGCTGGGAATACTGTGGATCTTCCCTGTTCTGGGAACTGCAAACCTGCGTCCAGTCCTTCTGAGAACATCTACAAACCCTTGACAAAACTGATTGTTTATTTCAGGCAATGCCTCTGATCTTTTTTTTTTTTAACTTTACCAGTTCACGTTAATTTGATATAACTATCTTCTGTACATTTGTAGTGATTGTAAATACAACTTTCAAATAAAAATATTTAGTGAAAATGTCCCAAATTTCACCCCAATTTGATGTATCTTGTAGCTTTAAATATGACCAAGACTATGAAAAAATCCCCAGGACAACAGAGAAGAAAATTATGTAACTATAAAATTGGCAAAAGACTGCTTTTCTAAATATGCTATATATGCTATATAAAGAACTCTTAGAAACCAATAATAAAAAGAACAATAAACTATTACAAAGAATACAAATCACAAAAGATTAACTAAAATGGCTTCTTAATACTATATATGAGATTTTTATCATTCACAGTAAAAGAAATACAAATCAAAACTTTAAAAAGATACCATGTTTTACCTATGAGATTAGCAAAATTGCAGTTTAGTAATATATTCTGTCAGTGTTGTGGTATAGGTACTTGAATACATTACAGTGGAAATGCAAAGTATTACAGTTTCTCTAGAAAGCAGTTTGGTAAACTATCAAAATTGTATACTCACAGGCCTTTCACACTGGGTAACTCACATCTGAACTCTCACGTAGACAGAATATCTTGTGGTCAGGAATATTCTTTGTTCACAGTTTTTTTTTTTTTTTTTTCCTTTTTGAGACAGGGTCTCGCTCTGCAGTTCAGGCTGGCCTTGAGCTCACTTTGTAGCCCAGGCTGGTCTCGAACTCACAACTGTCCTCCTGCCTCAGCCTCCCGAGTGCTGGGATTATGGGCGTGCGCCGCCACGCCCGGCACAGTTGTTTTAGTATACGTGCTGCCAAAGCGAGCACCGTTTACCACTGTTTAACAAGTACTGATTTGTTTCATTAAGTTTAAAAAATCAAGATAAAGTTTCTCTGTCTTCTGCCTCTCACGCCATCTGCCATGGAATTTAACTTTTCTTGCTTTTCCATCCCGTGTCTCTGGGCTGCTTTGTGGTTGATTTCTTCAGATCTCTCCTCCAGTTCACTAGCTTTTCCTTTAGCTGTCAAACCCATCTGCTGAATTTTTAATTTTGGTTTTAATATCTCTGTCTTTTAGAAATTCTATTTGTTAGTTCTTCAGCTTTATTGAGAAATAATTGACATGAGGAATTGTACAATTTTCAGTTTTGACACATGTGCACTCCCATGCAACTATCACTGTAATCAAGATAAGGAACATACCTATTACTCACCCAAATTTCTTTGTGTTCTTTTAATCCACCTTTCTCTCTCTAACTCCGTCTTCCCCCAGGGAACCTCTGCTTGGCTTTCTGTAGGTGTGAAAAGTTACAGTTTGTCTTTTGTACACTTAGATATAATGGAATCAACAGCATCTATTGTTTTACTGACTTCTTTCACTGAGCATAATTATTTTGAGATTCATCTGTACAGCAGCATATACACAGTTGTTCATTGTTTTAAACTGACAAGTATTCTATTGTACAGTTGTATCATAATGAGTGTGTTTATTCGCCTCTTGGTGGACATTGGGGTTGCCAGTTTTTGACTCTTACAAATAAAGGACCATGAGCATTTTTGGACAAGTCTTTTTGTAAATTTAGGCTTTTGTTTCTTTTTGGTACATACCCAAGTATGGAAAAGCTGTGTTGTGTGGTAGGCATCTGATTAACTAAAGAAACTGCCAAAATGTTTTTCAAGGTGGTTGTACCATTTTACATTCCCACTAGCAGTTCTACTTTCTCCATATCCTAGTGGAATTATAAAATTATGGCTTTTTAACTTTAGCTATCCTACTAGATGCACAATGATATGTCATTGTGGTTTTAATCTGCATTTTTTAGTGATTAATGGTATGGAACACCTTCATTTGTTTACTTGCCGTCTTGTGTCTTTTTTGCTGAAGTATCTGTTTAAATCTTCCCATTTAAAAAAAATGGGTTGTTTTTCTTCCTGTTATTAAATAAGGGTATTATTTGTTCTGAATAGAAGTCCTTTGCCAGGGAAACGTTTGTAAAACATATACAGGGTCTCACTATGTAGTTCAAACTGTCCTTGAACTCACTGTGTAACCTTGAAGTCAAGGTGATCTTCTTGCCTCAACCTCTTGAGTGCTGGGATTATAGGTGTGTTGCATCAAGCCCGGCTTTTACATTCTTTTTAAAATAGGATCTTTTGAATAGCAAAATATTTTAATTTTAATGAAGTCTTCTTTATCAAATTTTAAATACCTCATGTATTTTGCTTCTATTTAAGGGATGTTTGGCAAAATCAAGGTCACCATAATGTTCTTCTAGAAATTTTATACTTTTAGCTTTCATTTAAATCTAGAAGTTTTAGACTAAAAGTACCATCTATCCATTAAACTTATTTCAGATGTATTTCTCATCTCTAGAAGTTCTTTTTTTCAGATCTACTTGATCATTCTTAAAGTTTTTGGTTGTTCCTAAACATGTTTTCAAGTCTTTTTTTATTTCCTTAAGTATATTAAGGATTGTGTTTTATAGCCTACATGATAGTTCTATCCAAAATCTTTGCAAGTCTATATCTGCTGTCTGTTGTAACTGCTAGTTCAGCTTTGTTTCCTCTTCTGTTTATTTTTTATTATAGACTCTTGATTTTCATGGGATTTTTTTTTTCTTTCCTATGGGAATTCACTGAGGCCTGGATTGATTGTAAATTGCTTCAAAGAGGATTTGCATTTGGTTCTGACAGGCTCCTGTAGACACTGTACAATCAATTTGGGATCACTTAAATTAAATCCTTGGCTTGAGCTTTTTTTTCTGACCACCCAGGTAGTGTGAATTTAGACTGCAAACTAGAAAGATGGCTTACGGCTCCATGTTCTCATCAGCCATTCCCTCCATCAGCCTGTGACAAGGTCTAAGACAGTTCATATCCATTGTGATCCCCCGGGGTTAGGATGTAGTGAGTTTATTTCTATTTTACCCTTATACCAAGGGCTTAACCCTTTGGGATCCCAGCTTTACATGTGTGAGGGTAGGTGGAGGAACCTCTTGTTTATAGCTGTCTTAGGTGAACCCTGGGTTTTGTGTTCTATTCCTTATATTCTGTGAAAGCTCTGTGAGACCATGGAACTGGAAAATAAATGTTACTCTGTTCAGTAGTTGTTCTTGGCTGAAAGTTGGCTTCATAAGTCAAGCTTCCCATTTGTACTGCATTACTTTTACCTTTAGTATTTCTTTCTTGCTAACTCCCAGATGCATTGAAGAAGATGTATTATAGTTAGGATTGGATTAACCTAAGTAGGTAATTTGTCATATTCCTGGGAAACAGAGGTTACTACTTGGTTTTCTATTTTAAATTTGCTTTAAGTTTAAAATTCGGTGTTTTCAGCCACCAAAACTGGATAAAATTGTAAAAGAAAATAGCTTTCATCTTTCGGCAATTAAATGTTCTGTTTTTAAAGTATGTCCCAGAGAGAGATTTTGACAAATCCAGGAAAATACAGAGGAAATGTAAAGTTATAAAAATAATTTGTAATCTCGATATTCAAAAAATGGTGTTTGTATTTTGTTGCTTTTCTTGTTGTTTTACTTGTCTGTCCATTCATCCAGTGAGTAGTTTTCACATGTAAGTAAATGTTAAATTGAATAAGATAGATGCACTAAGAGGCAGGAAGAGAACTTTTTTTACTATCCCAGCTCCTTACCTCTGTTTGAACTCAGATTCACCCCTGGCTGAGCAATGGACAGATCTCACAGCTGTTTTAGTTCCTCTCAGTCATTAGAACAGTGTCATTTCAGCAATCGAGATGTTTCTCTGGGGTGGTAATCAGAGCACACAACCCAATACAAGTTAATGTGTATTTCAGGCCTGGGAAGTACTGCTTCAGTCTGGGAGGTACTGCTTCACCCTGGGTTTGCGGGTGACATGGGCAGCTTCCTCTTCGTTGTGGGTTAGATCTGAAAAGGTTCAGGTGTTCTATTGGATTTGAGGGTGCTAAACTCAGTGGATTGATCCTGGCTCCTCACCCACTCTCTGCTGTTCTTGCTCAGTGCTTCCTGGCTGCCGTGAGTTGAGCAGCTTTTCTGTGCCAGGCCTTTACACCGTGCCGTTTCTGCTTTGGAGCCAGCCAGCCGAGGGGCTGAAACCTTTGAAGCTGTGAGCCAGAGTAAACCTCTCCCCTTCTAAGTTGCAGGTGTCAGGTGTTTTGCCCCAGCAGTGGAAGGGGGACTAATGTACTCTCTTTTCTCGCAGTAGGGGATTTTTAAAAATCTCTCTTTATTTAGGCCTTAAAGTTAAGACAAAGAGGGAAAAGAAGCATAGTCTTAGGAACTGGGAATAGTTACAGTGTGGGGATCCGGCCTGCTGGGCGGCCCTAATACAGTTGCTTCTTTCATGAAAGAGGAATTTTTCTAATGATGAATCTATATACAGAGAATTAAGAGCAAGGAAGCACAGAGAGAGAGAGAGAAACAGGGAGAGAGAGACAGACAGACAGACAGGGAGAGAGGGAGGGAGAGAGAGAGATCTTACTTCTTGGTAATGGGATTTCTCTTTGTGTGATATATGAGATCCATGTTAAGAAAGCCACCCAGGCTAGCCGGGTGTGGTAGTATTTGCCTATAATCCCAGCCTCTGAGAGGCTGAGGCAGGATGATCACCACTAGTTCAAGGCTATTCTGGGCTAGTGAGTTCGATCAGCCTGGATTACATCAGGAAATCTTGTCTTATCCCCACCCCACCCCCCACCCCCCAAAAAAGAAAGGAAGAAAGCCACCCTGGGTGAAGTAAAGTGTGATGAATTTATGTTCTCATTCGTACCATCCAGATTCATCTCACTTTACTGTGTCATATGAGCTGTTTGGAGCCCTGTTTTTCATATTGTAGGCTGCACCCATTAGAGCAAGATGAAATCAGTAGCGGACCGGGCATGGTGGCGTACACCTACAGTCCTAGCACTCTGGAGAGCTGAGACAAGAGGACTGCACGCTCAAGCCCAGCTTGGGAAATTTAGCAATTTGTTGAGACCCTGTCTCAAAATAACAAATAAAAAAGGGCTGGGAATGTAGCTCAATGTGAAGGCCCTAAATTCTCAGGACCATCACGGAATCCAACCCAGCCCAAACCAATAAGGAAACAAATAAATGAGGAATCAAAACCAAATTAAATATAAAAGGATAGTGCAGTGGGCTAAGTATTACCATGAATATTTGCATTGGTCGCATGTAAGTGTTGTGTATAGGGTTACTATGTGTATTTGTCAGAGGATGGTGAGAAAAATCTGAGGAGCATGCTGAATGAAATCCACTAACCTTTGATACTTTTAAAAGTTTTGGAACTCTGAAAAAAATGGGCAAAGATTGGCCTGAAAGATTCTGTAACAAAATAGTAGGAAGCTCTTAGAAATGTACTTCAGACTACCTTATAAAATGACAAAATGCCCTCTTAACAAAGCGAATTGGGTAGTGGCTCACAGGTTACACTGAGATGTGTTAACGGGACAAATGTGCTCTATCAGTAAAAATGTGACCCATGGTTCTTTATAGGTTTTCTGGAAAAAAGTTGAAATTAATAGAAATTTTTCAGTTAAGATTCCTCATGTCAAAGAAAACTTTCTGAACACTGGTTATTAACACATGTCAAAGTTTTATTGCAATTTTATTGCAAGAGAAAAGGCTTCTAGTAGGCCAATTCAGAGATACACTTTTGTTAACACAATTTTGTAAACAGAGAATGTAAAACAGTTGTAGTAGAAAAACAAACAAAAATATTTAGGAGATTGGTTTGTAGAACAAGTCCTTACCCATGAAAGTAAATTTAAAAATGTTTTAAATCTTCTATTAAGAATGCTTTTATTTATTTTTTTAGAAGAAGATTGTGAATTTTCTTTGCAAACCAAGTTTGGAACAATTTAATGTTCGTGCATTTTTCTTAATCTTCTGATGTCTCCTAGTGTCTCATCTGTGATTTAGCTCTTATATATTTAGGCACAGTGTGTAATATACAAATATTCCACTGTGTTCTGAGTAGAGCACATTGACTTCATGAAGTGGCCACCAGGAAAAGAGTGGGAACTAAAAGTAAACCAGTTTGTGTGTGCTGACTGCAGGCTTCCCGCTCAGTGTGAATTTTACAAGGATGTATACGAAGCTGAAAAATGTGTAAGGAACCAAGGATATATGCAAGAGGGGATTTGCTGATCTATCACATATAGTACTAGAAGATGAAAGCTCAAATTCATCTATTACCTTTTTATCTCAACTGTACAACATAAAAAAGCTTTTAGCGATCATCTGAAGGAAAACAAAGTTAGAAAGGGGATCCTGTTGCTTGTAGGTAGTGCTAATTGATTGTTATAATCTAATCAGTGCCAAAGAGGAAGTGGTATTACTCACTTCCTGTTATTGTGAGATTAAATGATTTTGGAGAGCCAGGCTCAGTAGCCCAATCTTTTAATCCCAGCACTCAGGAGGCTGAGGTAAGAGAATCATAGATTCAGAGCCAGACTGGGCAACTTAAACCTTGTCTTAAAAAAAAAAGATTTTAGGGCTGAAATGATAGAATAGGTATCAATAAAAGAAAACTGAATTGTGATTAAAATAATATGACATCAAGAGAGTGAGCATTTCTCATTTTATCTTCTGGCCCAGATGAAACATTTTTTAAAATTCTGGGTGAATTTATGAATCAAATTTTGCAATTTTTGATAAATTGTGAAAGCCTTGAGATAAACAGGTTTTTTTGATGTTCCGAAGGTGAAATAGATTATGCACATGATTATTGAGTGTGATCTTGATCAGTCAAGATTATTATGAGAGGATAGTTTATGAGTATGTAAGAAAGAACAGTAGAACTCTAGAAAGAAAGAGTGCATGCTCTTATGAATAAAACATTTTCATTTTCTGTTAGGAAAATTAGACTGGTAGATACATCTGGATCTTGGCACAGCTTTTGGTGGCGTCTTGACACTCTTCTGGATAAACTAGAGTCTTGGTTATGTGGCTGCCACGAAGCTGCTGATTAGCTAATAGATGGGTGTGTGGTGTGAGAGCCCCAGTGCCATGCCCTGGACACTGGATTAGTTAATATTTTAGTCAATAACTTAGTCGAGGTTTGGAGGACTAATTTTCAAATTTGTAGACATTGAGATTTATTAGAAGAAGTATCTGAAAAGTGTTTGAAAGTCTTTACTTTTTGGATTTGATCTTACTATGTGAACTTTCATGATGCCAGAGGGTATTTTGGTAGAAATTTTGGTGGGATGATTTCTAAGATTTCTTTTTTTTTTTTGACTCCAATCATGGATCATTCCTATCCAAGTAACATGCAGCAGATATCTCCTGCCCTGACTTACCTGTTTTTTTTTTGTTTTGCTTTAAAGAAATTTACTTTCTAACACATCAGTAAGCATAGATATACAATTGGAGATATATCTAGCTATGTAAAGTGTGTAATGTTATGAAGTCAGTACTGTTTTATATGGAGTGAAAGTTGTGGTTGCTATTATTTATTTTTCATGAGTGCAGTGCGTTACCTGTTTTACATGAGGAGCTTTCCTCAAAATGATGAAGGCCATGAATTGGAGACAACCTATATTGTTTTCTGGACATTAATTTGATTATTATGCTTAAGAACAAGTTAAGGTGATGGTATTTAAATTCTTCACTTAAGGCTTGAGAAGATGTAAGTGACATTGCAGAATTTTGTTATCTTTCACATATTTCTCTGTCCATTCCTGTGATTACTATAAACACTCTACTCCTGTTGGTAAGGTTTCCTTGTTGGGGTGTTTATGGTACTAAGTAAATTTTAAAATAAATTTATGTTCATTTTGTTGAAAGGTGAAAGTGCTTTTAAAAGTATATATTTAAATCAACTTTTAGGGGAGTATTGTGGGAAAAGAGGCATAAGGAATAAATAATTAGAGAGTATGTGTTTGGTTTTAAAATACTATTTGGATCTGAATTCAGTTTGACAGTTTTTGATCAAAATAAAATGTTTTACCAGTTTTGTAGCCCATGTGTTTTTGTGTTCCTAAGTCCAATTTAAATATCTGTAGGAGTTGCTCCAACCCACCCTTAACCATAGCCCTTTTTGCAGATCTTCATTTATTGACTTAGATTAGAGCTGGCCCAGTGCCCAGTGATGGTCATTTCTCATCTTAAGGTTTTTGGTTACAAATCTGCTTTTGTTGCCAGTTCCAATACAGATTCTTGATTGTTTTTGTTAGTTTTATTATAAGTTCTTGCCAAGGATACAGTGTAGTATAACCAAAACAGATGTTCTGTTTAGACAAGTGTATTTGCTATCACAGGACCTAAAATGTAAATTAAATGATAAAATGTTCAGCATTAATGTAACAATTGGTGAACTTTGGGATTTTATTATTTTTGATAGCTTTTAAAAAATGGAAGAAAAATGTCCTATTTTGAGCAATTATTTAACATTTTTTTCTCAGCCAATCTCAGTTTGTGTATGTACAATTTTACATTTAAGTACTCTTCCAAGCTGAAATTTTACGACTTTGAAGGAAGCATAGAGTTCACAGATTTCATATATCTACAGTTTTGTTTTCTCTGAAAGTATTTTTATATCAGATAAATAGTACTTTCTGTCGCAGAAGTATCAGTCGAATAGAAAGGATGGTTTTGAAGACTTTAATACTTGTCAAGAGATAGGTGAAATATATATACATAGACTTTCCTATAAGTGGTGACCTTCGTAAATAAGACACTGTGTCACAGGGTTGTAGAGTCCATTGTTTTGTGTTTTTAGTAACCATCTCTGTAAGCAGTTCCAGTATAGTCACGGTTTATGCTGGGTTCTGTGTTGTAGTGAATACAGATGTATAGTAGGTACAAGATAGATATATTAATATTAAATAATTTTAATTACTTTTGATCATATTTCCTAGAATAAATTGAATATGTGAGGAGCAGTAGTGTATATTCAGTGATTAATAATGAGACTTTATTTTGAGGTTATTAACTCTTCAGCCTATTCTGATTCGTACTTGTTTTCTGTAGCATTAAACAGCTTTCTGTTTTCTCTCATCTCGAGCTTGTTTTCCTTCACCTTTGGTTTGTCTTCCCTCACCTTTGGCCAGCACTTTTCCAGAGAAGTATTCAATTAATTATTGAGGAACAGTTAAATGTTTTTCTTACTGCTTCTGTTAGGTTTGTGCGGAAGCACTAGGTTTGTGTTCTGTCTCTGTCCGTGTCTCTGTCATTTCATTTTGCATTACAAGAATTCAAAATTGCTGGACTCCTTCACGAGATCCTTTTTATTTGGGTATATAGGACTTGAAGATTCGGGAGCCAGGAATAGGAGGTCTTGAATCAGTCTTATTTGTATTTTTTGGCATTGGGCGGCAGTGGGGTGGGGGTGTTGACTCTGATGTATTTTATGTGGCTAAATCTCTGTATTATGCTTTCCTAACTTACTGAAATACCACTTTCAAGTTCCCCACATCCGTACATTTCTAAGGTTACACCCAGCTTAATCTCCACTGCTTTTCCGCTTCATAGCACTTACATTTTGAAGGAACCCTAACATTTGGGTTCACATTATGATAATGATGTTTCAGGGCATGGAGGATTAATGATGTCTCAGGTCTAGTTGCAGAATAAAGTACAGAAGCACTTGTAAAACTTCCCTGATTGGTGAGTTGAAGTCCTTTTATTTATTCACTACTCATGCAGCATTAATCCGTATTTCATCAGGTACCTACAGTGCTGTAATTCTAGACGTGACCTTGGGTCTTGATTTACTTCGGCTCCGTTTTCTTTGTTAATGTGCCATGAAAGAGGTACATGAAAGATAGCCAACTTCAAAGCACCTTTTAAAGTACAATGGTTGGTAGGAATTCCCTGGTATTTAACACTGTCTGTCAAACGTTTCAGCTGGTTTGCGTCCTTTTACAAGCTAGTGCTTGCTGCACTATAAGAAATTTAAAGCAGTTGTTTCAAGCCTTGGTGGGAGTACAGTGGGGGGTATAAGCGATGGTAGTGGTGGTGATCATAATGGTAAGGTGCCAGTAATTGGCCAGGGAAGAGAGTCAGCGAGAGGTTAAGAACATACTATTTTCAACTGTGTCTCTCCCAGTGTTTTCTTTGTTTTTCTGGGTGAAGGATCTTTAGTCCGACACAGTGTTTATGATCAGAGGAGGCACTTACCTTGATTGTCAGTGGATAAGATGGCCACAGCACATGCTCAGCCCTCTGTGAAGGAAAAAGGTTGTCATTATCTTGTTCAAATATTGTTTAACTAATTTAATTTCACAACTTGTTTATTCTTTACTGAGTCAGGAGAAGAAGTTATTAAACTTAGTAATGTGGGAAACTGAAGCTGCAGAAAGAACAAAGGTGATGGGACTGGAGAAGACTTGCCATGTGTATGGTGAATATTAATCTCCCCATACACACATCTTTTAAATGCTGCTTTCTCTGTTCTGAACTGACTATATGATGGTAGAACTTCTTGCAGCTAAGTTTTGAAAGTGATACCTTTTTTGTGTCACAAATAATTGGCTGTTTTTCCTACTTTTAAAGCCTTTACTTCTTAGATTCTCACCAGAGTTGACTCTGGATCTGTTCCTATCATGCTTACCATAGAATTTCCATAATCTGAATAGTGAAAAATAAAATTATGTAATTTTTAGAAAATGAAATTTACTTGCCTTTAGATTTATATTGGTACTTCATTTTCAATTTACTAATATAACCTTGGCTTGTAGAGGTCTTTTGAAATCTAGTGTAATAAAAACTCTTGTAAATAATACTTATTATTAAGCATTTGTATGATATTAAAATATTTTTAAGTTAATACATTTTCTTGATGTTCTGTAATTTTGTCCGCAGTTATCTGCCTAACATTTTATTTATATGTGATGTGAAGATAAATTTCAACCCAGACCTGGCCTCTGCAATTTATTGGACTAAAGATTCAGTCCTGTAAAATACAAAAAGTCAGCACCGCAGCTAACTTACACAGAGGAGCTTGATTATGCCTGGCCCTCAAGCTAGGCTAATGGCTCAAGACAGACTGTAATTGTCAATGTAGAATGAGCTACAGAGGCCTCGTTAGGGGTTTTATGAAGGGAGATAATGTAGTATGTGTAAGGAATGATCAATGTGTGCGATTTATTTAGCATCTGAATCTGTACTTACAGAAGGCAGATGAGAGGGCTGTACCATGCTCATTTGCTGCTATTGCTGTTTATACCATTCGTAGCTCACCTCTTACTTTGAAAGAGTGACTTCTAGAGTTGAGAGAGATGGATATAAGGACATAGGTAGTAGAGTGATGCTAGGAAGAAGATATGTATCTTTCCATTCGTGCCACTTTGCCATTCAACCTCTGTCCTCCTACCTCTTTCATGGTTAACGGCATCTTCTTGTACATATAGAATATGTTCCTTTAATCATTTTTTATTTGAGCTATCATAGAGATAATTGGGAGATGAAGCATAGTACTGCTTAGAAAGCCAAGATCTTATTTTTTTACCATTTTAACTTTCTTGGAGTAAGGAGTTATAGAGTACTTTGGTGACTTTGGGCTTATGCTTTTTTTTTTTTGATTTTAAGATTCTGCGATTTTGTGTATCCTACCTAATTCAGGATCAACAGTTATAATACATAAATTTGCCCTAATATTGTATATGTTGTTATGTTAAATACAGGTTAGTCTAAAGTTTGATTGGTAAGGGTTATTAGGCGACACTTATTAGTTACTTGGTGATAAGGAACTTGAATGAATCACAGCTGAGCAGTTGATGAATATGTTTTGGACCAATTTATAGGTTTACTTGATTATCCTATTTACCTAAAATTCCTACTATTCTTCAAGGCATTTTTAGTTTTCCTTTCAACATCGTGATTTTCATGAATCTGAAAATTATGAGTTACTGTAAACTTTTGATAGACTGCAGTCTTGTGACAAAGAACTATCTTTGAATTAGATAGTTCTGTTGTTTAAAACCATGCCACCGCCACCACTGACATTATCATATTTCACTTCCTATTTTAAGTTATGCTTAGCAGTATATTTGGGGTGTTTCTGGCTCAGAATTCAGGTGTTGTTATTGCCAACACTTCGTGGGATATGGATGCAAAGAGCCCTTTGTAACGTCTTCAGTAATGAGAGCTATTGCAAGGGTGTCCATTTCTATTCAAATCATATAACTCTAATTTCTAGCATTCAGTGTTTTCCTTCTCTTAAGGTCTTAGGCTTATTTTCATTTCTATCAAAGGAACCTAGATGTGTATTTCTTAAAAAATATTACCTCTCTCAGGATCCTCTACCTCTCAACTCCTTTGGGAGATTTTATACATGGTTCTCAAAGGGAGATGCTACTTTAAGATAGTTTAAATTTTGGTGGTACAAGCAATCAAAGTTTCCACCATGAAATCAGCCTTTTTTTTTTTCTATTTTAAGCAATTTTTTTGTTGGGTACAGAAAGACTGGGAGGATATTAGAGATTCCTGTTCAAGTTTTCCAGTTTGGATGTTGACATTTTCTTATTCAGGGATTTACGCAGGGAGGTATGAAAAATAGATGAAGAAAGTAGACCTGAGATAAAGAGGTTTTGAAAAATCTTATATCTTTCAGGTTTGATTTGCTTCTGTTTATCTTCGTTTTTTTAAACGGCTTTTTTTCCATCGTCCCTCTTAACTACATTTCCTTAGTGAGAAGTGACGGGTTTATGCTTAGCAAAAAAATGTAAAATGTGTCTGTCTTCTTGGGGTTGGGGATTTGTCTCCAAAGTGTAGTATATGCACAGCATCAGTTTTTGGCATTATGGAGAAGCAAAATATTTCATTTTAATTCCTCTCCACATATCTTACTGTGATATCACAATTATTGTCTTCACTAACATTTCAGGAATCTTCTGGTTATTTGGATAGTTGTCATCTCTTTTGTTTATCAAAATTCATCTATTCTCTCATTCAACAGATTATACTGTGGCAATGAGTATCTCAGTCTGCTAGGTTATTGGAGTCAGAGTCACAAAATCATACCCAAGTATCACACCATGTTCACTATAGCAGCGAAACTTCCCTGGACTCCTTTTCAGTTTATGACACTGTTGTTTCTTTTGCCACCTTTTGACTTCTGCCTTTGTTAACCATTCTTTCTACACATTTTATACATAGAATGCCAAACATTTTCCTTATTTTATTCTCTTTTTTTTTTCTTGATCATCTCTTCATGCCCTTCTAGGGTTCATTTTTTGCATCCATGTGAATTTTACATTGACATTGTTGTTTCAGTTCTCTTCAAATACCTGATCTTAAATGTCCTGTGCTAGTCGTCTCTAGTGTCTTCATGCCTGATTTTTCAGCATCAGACTTCTAGCATTCGGGCAAATGTTTCTCTTTCATTTTATTTTGTTCTTTTATAACCTTTTCCTTTGCCTAACGATTCTCTCTTAGGCATAGAACTTGTAATCTTTGATTTACTTGTCACATACCCCATTCCAAATTATCAGTAAATCCCATTGATTACACTGTGGCAATGTGTCTTCCATTTCTTTTCTTTCCTTCAGTGTCTCTGGTTTGCCAGTTGTGTGGTTTACCAGTCAGCTGATAGGGCTTTCATGAACTAGCCTCAACCCACTTCACGTAATAATCTTTTGATATTCTCTCTCAACCTAAGTCTTAGTATGTATCATTCAAACATTCATAATCTGAGTCTCCATTGTCAGCTTTATATTGTGCCTTTGATGTCATTCATAAAGGATTCATAATTTTAAAAATTACATAAATAATATATCATTTATTATTCATATAAAAATTAGGGGACTGAGGCAGTAGCTCAGAGTACTTGCCTAACCTGCATGAGTGAGTTTGATCCCCAGCACTGCCAAAAAACAAAACAGAACTTCTCATTGTGTTGTCACAGAGTTAGAATTGCATGTTGTATTTTATTAAACACAAGCTAATATAAATTCATTTTTAATGTTTATTTTTCAAAGCAGTCTCATTTAAATCTTCTCCTGATCTGCTTCTATTACTTACAGTGAAAATTTGTTTCTTCCTTTCAGGGGTTTCCTTTTAAATACTGCCCTCTCCCCCAACCTGGTGTTCTTAGATCCCCAGTAGGCCAAGTAAATTGGAATATTTGTTCTTTGAACATATATGGAATTTTTCCTGCCTCTTTTGTAATTAAGGGCTCAGGCTTCAGAGGCGGGTTTGAATTACACTTTTATCCCTTACTACCACAGTGACTGTGCTTAAGTTCCTTAATCTCTCTGGGTCTCTTCATCTCTAAAGTGAGGATAATAATAGTATCTACTTTATAGAGTGTTTTTGAAGGTTAAATAGACAAGACATTAAAAATACTTAAAGTAGTGCTTTGCACATAGTATGCAACCAGGAACTGACAGTTGCTGTTATTTTTACTATAGCTACTAAATGTATAATAATAATAACAGTTATTATTATTATTGCTTATACTGTTTTCTTCCCTTAGAACACCGTTTCTTCATTGTCTGTCAAAACCTTACCTCTCCTTCATGGCCTATCTTAGATTCTATTCTCCATGAAATTCTCTTAGGTGTTTCAGGTTGGAATTAATCTTAGCCTCTTCTGTATGACGGTAAAACTTACTATGTATTTCTACTGTGACACTTACTATATCATCTTCTTTGAACTGTACTTATTTGCATAACATTTGGATAGTATTTATGATCACGACATCAGTTTTTTTCATCCCTTTAGAGTAGCACCTAGTTGCCTGTATCACCCAAGGTGGTATGCTGGAATCTGAATTGATTTAAAACTACCCCCTCCCTTGCTGCACATGGTGTATGCGTATAAGCGTATATGACCCTTCAGTAAAGACACTCCCATAAGGGTTATGGAGGATATAAAAATAAATGGCATGGGGGCTGGGGATTTAGCTTAGCTGCACAGCACCTGCCTGGCAAGTGTGAGGTGATGAGTTTGATTCCTGGTACCAGAAAAAAACCAAAAAAAGAAAAAGGGCATGCATTCCAGATTAAAACCAAGTGTTAGCTACACATTATAAGAACACTCTAAAAATACACCATAGAAACAAACAGTAATGATTAAGTAAATCATGCTTCACCTCTCATCTTAACACATACAACATTATTGCTCCAGCTAAAGCCCGCTGCCTGTCTACATCTCCACTTCTACCCTTTCAGAGGTGTTCACTCTTGAGTTCTGGGTTTCTTTGCTCTTTTGCATGGTGGCTCCTTTATATAAATAGAACCCTATTGCGTATATTCTTCTGTGAATTACATTGTTTTTCTCAAGATTATTTCATAGGGTAATTCATTTGGGGGTATTCATGGTTACATTACATAATTATAAAACTTTTTTCTGTTTTATAGTTTAACATTTGGGTCTTTTTTGGTTTTGTTTATGGAGGTCCAATTTCATTTATTTTGTCTACATATGGGTTTTCTTGAGATAATTCACACACTGTGTAATAAGCCCATTTGAAGGGTACAACTCACTGATTTTTAATGTAGTCTCGGATAAGTGCTACCATCCCTACTGTCAATTTAAAATCATTTTCATCATTTCAAAAAGAAATCTTTTATCCTATAGCTCTCATTTCCTACCTCCTCATCCTTCATTGTTATGGTCTGGAGGACTGTCCCTTGAGGGTCCCTGCTACAGGCTTGGTGCTATTTAGAAGTAGTGAAGTCTTTCGAAAGTGAAGCCTAGTGGGAGATTGTTAGGTCATAGAAGCCAGCCCCTGGAAGGGAATTGTAGAGTCTGCTGCCTCTTTCTTTTCCTCTCTGTTTTGGCTCACAAGGTGAGTGGTTTGTCCCATGGGGGCTCCTGCCATATGGTGCTGCCTTGCCAGAGCCCAGAGCAGTGGGGCTTCTTGATGATGAAGGAACCTCCAAAACCGTGAGCCATAAATGTTTCTCCTGAGTTGATTGCCATGGGTATTATAATGACAGAAATCTGACTGATACAACCACTAATCTATTTTCTGTCCTGTAGATTTCTCTCTTGTGCACATTTTGTATGAATAAAATATCACCTGTGGTATTTTGTGACTGGCTTCTTTTATTTAGCATAATGTTTTCAGAGTCTGTGCATGTTGTAGCATGTGTCAAAATCTCATTTCTTTGGCTGAATAATAATATTCCATTGAATCGATGGTTAGTTCTACTCATTGCCTATTAGAAGTAATGCTACCTCAAACATTCATGTGTAAGTTTTTTAACTTACGTGCTTATTTCTTTTAAGTGTATACCTAACATTAGAATTACTGTTATAACTGATTAATTGAAGAACAGCGGTTTTCTAACATGGAAGCAACATTTTATATTCCTATCAGGTATGTGAGGGTTCTGATTTACTTATATCCTATTACACTTACTTGACTTTTTATTTTAGACATTGTTGTGGGTGTGAAATGGTATCTTGTTGTAGGTGTGAAATGCATTTCCCTGATGACTAATGATGTTGAGCATGTTTTCATATGCTTTTTGAGTATTTGCATACATTTCTTGAATGAATCCCTATTCAGATCCTTTTCTTACTTTTGTTCTAGAACTTAATAATAGAAAGACTGTATTTTATTGGTAATTTCAATTCTTTAAAAATTTTAAGAAATTTTTAATGAAAGACAACAAAATTCTTAATTATTGTGTGAAAGATGTTTTGAGGTATATATAAGTTGTAGAAGGACTAAACTTAGCTAACATAGGCATTACCTCACATAATTATCATTTTTATAGTAGGAACACTTCACATCCATTCTCTTAGTACTCCTCAGTAATATAGTATTAACTGTAGTCACCATATTCTGTAATCGATCTCTTGGACTTTTTGCTCCTGTCTAACTGAAATCTTTGGTCATTTCTTCTTTAGATTATTTGTTGTTATTAGATTATTATTTTAAATGTTGGATTGTAAGGGTTTTTGTAGTTGTGAATATGTCTCTTATAATTTGCAAATATTCTCTCTCATTCTGTGGGTTGTCTTTTAAATTCTCTATGACATCATTTGAAGATGACAGTTTTCCATTTGGATAAAGTCTTATTTATCTTTTACTTGGCTCTTTTTATTGTTTATTGGTACAATTTAGATATACATAATGATCACATCATCATAGGGAACTTGTACCTGTATATGATATATCTTTA